TCCTTCTCCGGTAATATGTCTTCCAAACAAATGTCATTTTGAGAATAATGGGGGTAGAAGAGCCAGCCAACAAAACTGGTGATGTATACTACCGAGGGCAGCAGTGTTTTCTTCTAACATCAGTGTTATGTAATCTATATTGCAATTGTTGACATGTATACTGCCTGTTGTCAGTTACTGCAGCTAAAAAGGAAAAAAAAAACCCACATTAGATTCTGCATCAGATAATTAGTTTACAATATTGCATGCTGCCTCAAGGAAGTTGTTTCTAATAAATGTTATGCATAATATTCAGTAACATTTAAGACCTGAAACAAAATGTGGCAATGGGGGGGGGGGGAAAGGAAGGAGCAATGTTTTTAAAGGAAAAGAAGCCCCAATAACAGCTGAGAAATATATTAAAATGCACTTTAGGGCTACATCCTACTTTCCCACCATATATGGTTCAGTTAAGGAGCTATTACTAGTGCTTACAGAACTATCTGTTCTTCTGAAAATTTATGGCAGGACTTTTTATTTATTTTATTTATCATATTTCTATGCCACTCATTTTGCTGCATAATTTGGCCTTGGAAAATCAGATTTGTGGCAACAGAAGAATGATTTCAAACATTCCTATTAAATGATTGCAACTGAGGGATGCATCAATAGAAACACAATATTACATATGAAGTGAGCATCTGTTGGGGAACTACTGGGCCTAGATTTGTGAATACTTTCATTGTAGAAAAGTGTGTCTCCATCCTACTCTAACAAAAAAAAAAAATCTTTCTGCCAAAATCTGCAACCAGCTGCTGTCTGATAAAAGCAACTACATATAAAAGAAATGTTCCCTTGTAGAGATTTCTACTTGTAAGGCCTCAGGCTGGAACATATCCCACATATTTAAAATAAGACAGTAACTTTCTTGATAATTTAAACAGATTGTGTAAAAAAAGGTCTGAGAATAAATTGATGCTTACTTGTTCAAGACACGAACATATAAGGAAGCAGCTATTATAATCACATAGCTACATAAACATTTGTGAAATAAGTCTGCAATTAAGCCTTATCATCTCAGAGTATCTAATGCATTTGAGTAAGTTTCTATCTTCAACAAACCTAACCCCAAACAAGTAACCAGGCTCATTGGTCTTCAATTATTGGTGCTCTCTCTTTCCAACCAATCACTTCTGCCATGCTAGAGGAAGTAATCCTGTCCAGTACGCAGACTGCTCTAGCGCTTTGAACCTGGTTTAATGAACTGAAGTTTGCTTCTAGATAGCCCCACCATGTGGTTACTCTTGATACTTTGCTGTTGCCAGTAACTGCAGCAAAAGATGATCAGCAAGCTCTCTTTCTCATTTTCTTTCTGTTTTCTGTATGTCACAACCTTCCCAGATAGTGTTTTGGTGTTCTCCAGATATGTAGGGTTTTCCATACTTCTCAGCCAACATAATCAACAGTCATGGGTAGACAATCGTGGGAATTATGGCATAAATACAGCTGAAAGGCATCAGGTTGAAGAATGATCCCTGGAATTATTTTGATACAGTGATGGATAATATATATAAAAAAACACCTAAGGAGAGTTAGAACTGCTTAGCATTGGTACTTCTTGGTGTAGGTTAGGCTGGTGGAATTTTTTATAAAACAAACGCCTTGAAAGAAATGGAACAGAATTTGCATACTGTAGCTAAATCTATATAGACTTCATGAACATCCATGACTTCCTGGTATTTATGAAGTCATCAAGAATCAGGCTTGGCTTGGAGACCCAGTTATTGTACAGATACTAGTCTGCTGCCAGGGAAGTATGTTAACTTTTTCCACCAACACAAACTATAGAGGTTCAACAGACCAAAATTGTACATGCAGTTACCGTATATGCCGGCATATTAGGCGACCCGGCGTATAAGACGACCCCCGTCTTTATAGCCGGGCCACATTCCTAAAACGTCGTCTTATACGCCGGAAACTACCAGTATTTCCGACGTATAAGACGACTCGGCGTATAAGACGACCCCTGTCTTTGGCGCCGATTTCAGCGCTCGTGGAAGTCGTCTTATACGCCGGCATTTACGGTAATTGGTTTTAATTAGGAGTAATCTTCACATGTAATTGTTACATAAACTTTTTCAAGAATTTTATCTGTTTTGTACACCTAGAGCAAGGGTAGGCAACTTTGGCTTTTATGACTCATGGACTTCAACTCTTAGAATTCCTGAGCCAGCGTGGTTGGCTCAGGAACTCTGGGAGTTGAAGTCCATGAGTCATAAAAGAGCCAAGGTTGCCTACCCCTGACCTAGAGGAAAAATTTAACTCACGGAATAGACAACCTAATTTAGCTCACGCATTACATTGTCCACATATAAATACAGGGCATTGTGGAGGCAGATAGCATTAGTAGGCAAGACTTTTGAGTGGGAAAATTCCACCTGTTGAGTAAAACCTATCCTCAGAGTTTTTTCCTTAGCACAAAGGAAGATATGGAGTAAATCATTCTTTCTACGCACAAAGGAGCAAAGAAATGCAAAATGGAGGTTTGGATGAAATCTGTTTTATGCTGGTAAAACTGTATCCAAAATCAGGCTCCACAACATTAAACAACAAGGCATATCCTGTGGGTATCTTATTATCCTTCTTCATTCCTGACAGGAGCTTGCATCAGCAGCTAATTCTGGGAACCAGAAAGCAGCAATGATAATCATGCAACAGATACAAATTCTTGTGGGAAGCTATGTAGGACACGCTATTATTAAGAATCTTCACACTGTGAAATAATCTCACCCCACAGTGCCATTTTGTAACTCCAGTTAAGTGGTAGTTCAGAGGGACAAACCTTAATAGGGACAAAAGTACAATATTAAGAGTATTTGATTTCTTCGAAGTACAAGCACATTGTTTGAGAAAAACACCTGGTTTGAATGAAATTTCTATGTAACATTTATGTAATTAGAGCCAGGGGAATCATCTGGACAAGGTTTAAACATTTAGAGCCATTAGACTACTGGTGTCAACAGATCAAAAGATTCAGCTGACTAGCAAGTTGTACTGATCTCTAGCATGGATGTAGGGTACTCAAAGGATACTGGAAATAATAGCATTCAAGCTTACAACGTAAGTAGGTACGTACTCCATCTTAAATATAACGACTTCATGGTATGGCTTCAGACTCAATTCCAAAATGATGTAAAAGCAATACTTGTATGTAAGGGATTGCACTGTCTATTAATTTCTCAGTTCAGTTCAAATTAATGTTTATGAAAATAGTGCACTTTTGAACATGTAAGTTACCTGTGTTTTTCAAAAAATGTTAAACAATTTAGAAATGTTAAGGGTAAAAAAGATTGTTCTAAATATGCTCTTAAATAAGGAAACATTTTATACGTGAACCATAGAATTTCTACCAGTATTCCATAATTAAAATTCTAGAACACTATGCTTAAAATTCACTGATATAATAATAAATTAACTAGTATACTATGATTTTTTTCCTGAAGCTTTCAACTGCAGAAACACTAAGGCAGTAAGAAGAATTTGACAAAGCAAGATTGTTTAAAGTAGATTGGTATAAATCCAGATTAAGTTGCATTAAAATCAATAAATATGTTGATTTTAATTAGACTAATGGGACAGTTGATTTGATTTTAATGAGACTAAAGCATTCAAATCCCCTGTCCAGGACAACTGACAGCCTAGTTTATCTTTCTTTTTGAAAAGAAAAACAGCAAAATTTCATATAAATCTAACATAGGCTTCATATAGATTTTTTTTAAAAAAACTCTCTAAAATAAGACACTGTCCATATGCCACACTTCTACCCACTGTATATACATGCATGCCTAAGTTACTGCCCCAAGTATCAAAATGCCACCCAGACCTAGATTAAATAATGATCAGTTTAGGGTGAATTGACTGATCATATTAATGGAAAACCAAATGAACCACAATTCAGTTTAGTGCGATGTGCACTGAATTAAATTTGAGTGGGATTTTCTTACCCACAATCCTGAAAATTTCTAGACATGTACCTTTGTTGTTAATAGTCTGGAAAAGTTCTCTGCTAATGGAGAAATAAATAATTCTACATTTTAGGGTGGTTAATAACTATTTTTAATATAGAAAACTATCTTACAAAAATCAGTTTTTTCACCAAAAAGGAACTTGAAAATATTTTGTCCTATTCCTTCATGAGTAATTATTTCAGAGATGAACAACGCATAGTTCCCAGTCAGTTAAGCTCTCTCATTCCTGTACGTACTTTACTAGTTCTTTGCTGTCTTCTTACTATTAGTCCCAACCTCAGCAATAAAGAGGGATGGACACATGGAACACTGAGCAACACAAATTATGAAGTTTAAAATAGGGATACCAAAGATTTTCAGCTATTTCAAGTAAGTAATGAAATAACTTACAGTCTTCCAAGAGTTGGTTGAGTCGCTCAAGTATCTTCTGAGATGAGGAGGATGATACAAAAAAATTATGTCTCAGTTTCATATCCTGAATCCCTGCTTTAATTATTTGCTCCATGGCCAAGGTTAAAAGAATCAAATACAGTGGTACTTTAGTATTCAACTGCTTTGAAACTCATTGAATTTGGTACTCAACTCATTTTGACTTGAAAAGTTTGCCCCAGTACTTGTTTCTTTGGTACTCAATGCAGAAGCTAGAATTTGTTGGTGTCAGTTGTCTTGTAACTCACTAAATTATTCCTTATGCAAAAAAGTTCTTTGGTACTCATCGTTTTTGGTACCAATCATGCCTCCCAGAACCAATTAATGATGAGTACTGAGGTACACTGTATTAGGAATTAACATACTGCTTTAATACTGTTTCTAATCTATTCTTCTATAGATACTGAATTTTATTGTATTGGTGTAACAGAATATTGTATTTTAGTAATATTCACGTTATTACAGACCAAGGAGATCACAATTAAACAATATAAATTATGGAAATACTCATGCTAATTGGAAATTAAGAGTTCAAAATAGAAAAAGCACCACAAAATACAAAAATAAAACGTAAGTTACATTTTTACTGTCATTTCAAAACTTTTTTCATATACAATCAAATATGGGAAACAGAAGAGCACAATTCTGCTGAATGTTTACAAGTTGTTATCCAAAGAAACTTTCAGGTATGTCAAACCTTATATCCAGCTTTATCTATGAAATCTGACAGATTTTGTTATCCATGATTGTGTTTCTGAATGATGGGAGAATCCCTGAATTTATACTGATGAGGCTCAATGTTAAACAATTTGAACTAGCATTCAAAACTCACCTGGTCGAACCACCAGAACACTTGACTGAAGTAAAATTACCAACAGTTACAAATGCACAGTTATATTGCAATCAAAAGACGACAGATGTCAAAAAAGAGCACACAACCCAAATTTCAGAATTGCAGCTGCTACAGAGAATATTGGACATATATGCAAGAACATTTGGGATCTCAGATTCTGTGCATTTTATCACATCAGCAGCCATTTAAAAATACTGCTAAAAGCAGTTACTCCTGCTTGTGCCTTTAGAATACAAAACTCCGATTCAGTGCTTCATGAGAGATTCGACATGTGTACTAAAAATAGCTACATACATGTAGCAACGAGTGAGTGCGATCTATGACTCAAATACTAAATAAGAAAATGCATAAAGACCTTGTAGAACAGAACACAATTAGAACAAGATGGGAAATGACATTTTCATTTGTGACAAAGAATCAGAAACAAAAGCATGCAAATGACAAATCAGCATTATGAAGAGACTCTGAAGGCACATTTCAGAAAGCACAATGATTTGCAATTAAAAGTTTCTTTAAAAGGAACTTGAAGTGCATTTTTAGCAATGTTCTCTGGACACAACTAAATGCTTAGTCCAAATATTTGATAGTATTCTCCTCAGTCAATATGGCTTTCAGCATATTTCAACTCCCAATTCAAGCCAAACACTAGGGAGGGTTTTGATGGCTGGGTTAGTAAAGGTTGACTGGGCTAACAAGATTTACTCGTCAGAGCCCACTGATCTTTTCTGTGTCCTCTTGCGTGGCAACCGTCTTGGAGAAGCTTTATCTGTAGTTAAAAAAGAGAGAACAGCCCTTACTTAACACTATGTGTTAAAGAAACATTCTCTGGCAGACAAAAGATACATTATTTATTTAAAAAATTATTGTGCAAGCACTACACTCAAAAATATGGTATGGACTAGTTAGGAACATGCAACTGTTATCTCTTATGTGCCCTAAAATAATGGGAAACCAGATATCCAGTGCTAGCTCTGGTCTGGAAATGGGGCAGCCTTGAGTGAATGAAGTCTTTTTGCCCAATTCGTTTCCTCTACTTTCAACAGGAGTAATGTAGTCCATGGTAAATGGTTATAAGGAAGGAAGATGCCCAATGCCCAATTTTCCTCTGTAGCTCAGGGCAGCCAGTCTGAAAAATAATCTTCACATCCACATGTTTGAGAATATCATATCTATACTTTGCACTAAATAGAAAGGATGCTGTAATATGGTAAAATGATATTACGTTAGCCATGTGGAGCAGACATAAAGTTTACGCTAACTTATTACATTTTTTTTTAAAAGCCAAATTAATATTCAAGGAGCCACATGTCATTTTGAACAAAAGTCTGAATGCAACTAATCAGCTTATAATTTTGTATTTTAGTTCATCTAGCCACAATTATTTTGGGGGCTGGGTTTTCTTCTTAAAGTTGGCAGTTCACAGTGCCGCAATAATAGCAGAATCTATAATTAGCAGAATAATCATGTTGACTAAATATGATAGCAGTCTTTTTCTGATAAGATGGGGAAAGTTGATGCATACTGCAGGACTAGCAATCTAATACTATCTGTTAACTCCCAGTAACAAATTACTCCAAGCCTACTTTGACTCTCCTTTGCATTCTGCCAATTTTTATAACTCTACCATTTCTATTATCCAGTATTTTGCCCAGCCATATCCTCAACTTCATCACTCCTTGCTTAGGATGCTCTCACAGAAAATGTCATACTAATTAATTTAGCTCCTGGAGCAACCAATTATTTGATATGTTTGCACCAATTAATGCAGCATTAGAGGCTTTTCTTCTGTGTTAATTGCCCACATATTAGCCATAACAAAAACATAAATACCAAGTTTAGTCAGCCTAAGTCTTTTCTATAATCTCCTTTCAAAATTCATAATGAATTTCTACACACTAACTTCCTTAATTTCATAATATAGAATTAATGTAAGACAATCATGTTAAATATGCCACAGAATTTCTGAAAATTGTTAGCGATTTTATTTAGTTTTTTTAAAAGAAAATCTCATATTTTCTTTAGGAAATTATATATTAAACACTGTAGCAAAGTAAACATTACAGAGGGAATTTCTAATTCTGAATTATGGAAGTGTGGTATATTAATGCACTTAAAAGTTAAATAAGGAAATCTCGCCTCTGTTATTTTGCCAGTAAGTATCACTAAGCCAGCCTTCCCTAAATTGGTGCCCTCTGACTCCAACATCTTGGCACTTCTGCCAGCACAAGAAATGTAATTAAACACATGTGAAGATCATTGTTGATGAAACCTTCACTAAGCTATCATCCCTTTAGTTAGCTTATACTTTAAGAAACAGTAAGTCTTGCAGCAATACATGTTACTTTCCCTGCAGAAATAACAACTGTCATTTAAGTTCTAATATAGTATGTAGAGTTCAGAAATGAAAGACTACATTAAGAGATATTTTTTATTACTGCAAACTATTTATGATAGTTTTGTGCTGAATGAAAGCATATAGCAGTCTACATTTAAAATATTTTATATTTTAAAACAATCTATTCAGGGAATACAATGTATGTATGTTTAAGTTCCTTTACCTCCTCTAGAAAAGAGACCTGATATAACATTTTGCCACGTGTTTTGCCATTTTCTATTTTCCAATAAAAATGCCCATTGGGTTACCTGATTCAGACTTCTCACCATGTGATTCACTTAACAACCACAGGGCTCATTTAACAGACAGGGTGACTTACGTAATGACCATCATAAAAACAGTCATAAAATCAAGTCTGGTACATGGGGACTCAACTAATGACCACAATGTCACAACCACGTATTCCAGGCTCAATTGCGGGTGTAAGTTGAAAACTACTTGTAAAGATAAAATTTTGAACTATACAATTTGAGAGTGTTTTTTTTAAATACAAATAAAAAGGAACATGGCTGTTAGCCAGTGAAGTATACATTTTTCCTACTATGTAGTACAATTTCAGAGAAAAGCAAAATAAAATAATGGTTTAGTGACCAGGTTCTAGACAACAGATTTCCTGATATCTCACCAGCAACATAAGCAAGGTGCCTCTGAAGATGCCAATTGCAGTTGCTGATAAAATGTTAGAAATCTGTTATCTTCTAGACTATGGTCACAAAACTCTGTAATTAAAACTCTGCAGTTTTAATACAGCCCAGAAAAAAATTGTACTGGACTGCAACTTCAGCCTTATATTTTACATTAGGTATTAACCTATAAATTTCTTGGTCCTTTCCATCATATTCATTTTTGATGCAACTCTGGTCTGACCAATATAACTCCATTTTAAATAAGCCTCTTAAATAATCAGAAATTAGTGAACTGGCAGATATCAAGCATGTAATACATGCTCAAAAAGAAATACAGAAGTAAATCTCATAGCATTACACAACTGCTAGGATGAACAGAGTGGAAATAATTTTGAAAGAATGGGTGGGTATTCCATGCATGCTGAACATACTCCAATTTTACACTGGAAATGGGCACAATCTCCTTTAAGGTCAAAATATTTCAACTTCTAATTGGATAAGTTTTATTTTAATACTTCTACAAAATATGCAACAGCTATTTGCCAAGTTTGTTATTAAAGCTGGTGAAATCCTTCAAACTTTGGTATTATTTTATTACTACATGCAGTTATTATAAATCACCAGGAATGAATTCTATGTAAAATTTTAAAAGCCTCAACCCAGTAAAGTATATCTCACCTCTTCTACTTTGCACTGAAGGCAGAGAAAAAACAAAAACAAAACAAGATGTTAGCAAAGATTATAAGCATTTTAAAAATGTAATGTATTTGAATTTATTTCTGAGTTAAATAGAAACAGCAAAATTTAATATCCCACAATGTCTTCAAATCTACAGAGGCTACTTATCATCAATAATCATAGAATTACAGAGACAGACACGACGCCACGAATGATGCCGTTCTGACTAAATGGAATCTTAACATTGTAAATCTGCTCTTGACAGAAGGGAAATCTCCAGAACACAAAGGAAAAGATACGGGAGGAAAACAGGAAATTCTGTTGCATTTTTTTTCAACACCGAATATAGTCTAAAGCTCTGCCCAACTACACTTGCCATTAAACAAAATCTACCGAAAAATAGCCTAATATATTTAAAAAGTCAATTCGGAAATCAATTTTTCCACTGAGATATTGTCTTCACTTTTTTACAATGCAAATACTTTTACTACAGACAAACTGCTTTGATACTTACTGATCTGATTTAAAGTTTCTTGAGGAATCCAACTCATGTCAACATCATTTTGATTAGAAGTTCCCATCTCTACTTTTTGAGCTGGTCTTTTTCTCTGAGGGGATTAGAAACAAAAGTAATAAAATAAAATATTATCATCTATAAAGTCAAAAAAAGGGGAACTTAAATTATTTTGGCATGATACCCAATAAATGAAATAAGCATTATCCAACCATTAAAACAGATACATTAATTAGAAATCCACTTTTATAATAGCTATTTCATTAATTGTCTCCCTTTCATCATTTCCTTATCATTTAAAATACCTTTCAAATGTAAAAAGGCTCATTTGAAATGCTGCAACTGTTAAATTATTGATGTCAGTGGAAGATATTCAATTTGTAATATTTTTACAGTTCTGGTAAAAGTTAATTTTTAGACACGAAGGTAGTTGACTTGATGGAATTTTTCACTATTTTTAGCACTGAGCAGCATAGATACAATGAGCTCTCTATTGGCCTATCTTAATTTTCCTGTATGTACATTTTTAAAAGATTTGATAAGAAAAGCACTAGCAAGCCAGATGACATCATCCTTCTTCTATGAAATTTAGAGTAAGGCAAAGTTCCCCAATGTTTCCGGCTTTGCCGACTGGGACCGGAGTGCGGGGATGGTCTGTGCAAGTGAGTGAAGATGTGCATGTGCAAGCTTGCCAGCCATTTTCACAGCCCAGATGTAAACCCCTCATGGCCCACAGGTTGAGGACCCTGGAGTAAGGCATACAAATTTCACAATCCTACACCAATCCACATATTCAGATAATGCTACAGACCATCTTCTCAGCTTAGAAGAAACAATGATGGTATTCTAAAGTCAGGGGGGGAAATAATTAAAAATAGCTACTTACCTTCCTAGATTCCAACAATTGATGTAGACCAACAATGACAAGTAGGCCAAGTCCCGCCAGGAACATATACATAAAGATCCTTATTTAGAAAGATGAGAAAGTCTAGTAAGATTTCAATTCTTTTAAGGCAAATTTTTTTAAAAAATCTCTGAACACTCATAAAACATAAAGTGATTCTGGCAGCAGATAACAAGCCAATAAAATAGTAAACTAAAAGAATTATTACCAAAATTATTATATAATTATTAAAATACCATTCAAAATTATAAAATCAGAACTAAAACAAGAAAAGAGAAAATTAGCCAAGGGATATTAATAACAATGGAGCCTCTTCACAAATTCACCTGTCCTCTGGGTTCAAGCTTGCTGGCATAACCAGGTCTTGAGGAAGCTTTGAAAGCTCAGGGGTGACAAAGTTGACCTAATCTCTTTGTAACAAATTCCACAATGTGGGTGCCATAGCAGAAAAGGCCCATCATCTATGGATTGCCAAATGTAGCTCCCTAGATGACAGAACCTGTAACATACCCATTCTGGTGGATTTGGTGGGACAGGCAGATGAAATCAGAAAGAGGAAGTCCGTCAAATAATCTGGACCCATACAGCAATATAGGGCTTTAAAGATCCCACTGAGTTGGATCTGGGAGCAAATTAGTAACCAAGCAGCAGAAGTGTCATGTATGCTTTACCAGAAATACACACAAGTGGTCACTCTGCTGCATTTTGCACCAGCTGAAGTTTACAGATACTCTTCAGGGGCAGCCCCATGTAGAATGCATTGCAATAATCTAATCAGAAGGTGACTAGAGCATGACGAATAAAGCTTCTCAATCCAGGAATGGACACAATTGGCACACAATGTGAACTTATGAATGGCTCTCCTAGCACGACTACCTGCTCTTCAAGCAAGAGTCAGGACTCCCACATTGTACACAGGGTTTGTTTCGGGTGGTTCAATCCCATCAAGCATTAAAGATACTATAGATCTAGAACCAGAAGGCCCAACACCCAAAGCTACTGAGTTGAAGCCTCCTGTTCCCCATCCAGACCCTCAGTCTACCACACCGGGATAGGTCATCTACAGTATCACTTAATTTGCCAAGAGCAAAGATGCACAATTGGATAGCATCAGCATATTGATGATACCTCATCCCATGGTGATGGATGAACCCACCCAGCTATCTTATGCGGATACTGAATAGGAGAGAAACAGCACCAACCCCTAAGGCATCCCATACAGAAGGGGCTGAGATCAAGATCTCTCCTCCCCAATCAGCACTAACTAGAATCAACTAACCAGGAGAAAGGAAGTGACCAGTATAGCACTGTGGTGCCCAGCCCCAATCCTGAGTCAGACCAGGATACCATAGTCAATGGTATCAAAAGCAGCCAGAGGTCAATTAAATTAAGGATGGATGCACTATCATCATCCTATCTGTGCCAGAGATAATTCAAAAGTGCAACCATACCCAGGTCTGAAACTTTACTGAAAATGATCCAGATAATCAATTTCATCCACAGCCCTCGGAAGTCTTTGCACAATCACCTTCCATCAAAAAGGGAAGCTGGATACTGGACACAAAGTTGTCCAGTATCGAAGGGTCCAGCAATGGCTTCTTGAGCAGAGGGCAACCTAAGATCTCCTTAAGAGGTAAAGGAGCAACCTACTCACTCAAGAGAAAAATCAGCCATTGTTATGATCCATTCACACAATACCCTCTGGACTGCTTTCACAAAACATGGATTTTGTGCATAGATTTTAAGAGCAAGTGGTTGAACTCAAAGTCCTAAGGACCTTGTTCACTTCCTTAGGTCCAACAAGTTCAAATAATAGTTGGAATGCCCAGATTATTCTATCATAAATTAATATATGATATCACTATCTAAATAACCTTGGTGAGACAGGCAGCTGCTAACCTCAATCAGTATTCAATGATTTAATATACAAATAATGAAGGATGAACAATATGTTATAGTCTCTTAGCATTCACGACAGCAAGCTGCTTTTACTGTCTCTGTCTCAAGGTTTGGCGATTAAAAAACAAGGAAAATCTTAACCTTTTCAAAACCTAAATGAATATGCATGTTCTTTTATAATAGCAAAAAAGGCTAGTTATCACCATCATAAAAATTAATTAGCAGAATAATCTTACGTTTCACCATCTAATCCATCTTCTTTTTCAATAATTGTAACAGTTTGATTGAAGACAGCATCTTGAAAGAAATTCCCCTAAAAAGACATATTAACAAAGCTATCAGATTTAGGCCATCAGATGGCACTATTGTTACAGAGGACTCCAGAAAAAAGGTATATTCCTTGCACTTGCTTCTAGCTTTTCTGCAAAATAAACTGTATATTTATATCTATATTTATTGTTATATTTTGATAGATAGATAGATAGATAGATAGATAGATAGATAGATAGATAGATAGATAGATAGACAGACAGAGATAGATACAAAGTGTGAATGGTATTTGTTAACTATTCGAGATTGCCAATCTTTTTGCAGCTGAACTTTTAAAATTATTTTTTCAGCTGTCAAATGTTTCAATACATGAAGGAATTACTTACTCATATCACTATAGAAGATGAGATTTTTCAGATAATTTTCCTATTTCCCCTAAATATTAAGATGCGATAGTTATTTTTGGTGAATGGAATAGGTTTATAACTATATTAACCTTAGTAGAAGTTTAGCATTCTTAATTTGGTGGAAGACTGAACATTTAGCAGTTTACTATTGAATTCTAGTGATAAGTTTTTTAGCCTGAAGAGAGAGTTTGATGCTGAAAGAGGCTTACAGGTTGTATTGTATTGCCTTATCATAATAGCAGCTCTTAATGCCTCAGATTTTGACTTTTTAAAACAGTATTTCTCTTCAAGCCACAACAGTAACTAAGAAATTGTTTTGGATAAGATTAAGGAAACAATACACTTTCTACTGGAATGCTGATCAGGTGAGGAAAACACTGTACCTAAGAAGTAATAGAATATTCAGTAATACTCTCAATAAAATATGCCTCCATAGTGATCAAAACAAGATATGAAATATGCAAGCATATAGATAAACTGATATGGATGTTATTGAGTGAGGCAAACATGGACTTTTGAAATGCATTGTCCTATTAACTTTCTCAAAATGCATTATTTTGCATAGCCAATATCCTTAAACAAGTCATAACTTATAATATTCAAAAATCATCCTAATAAATGATAGCAGAACTAGCAGCACAAATTTTTATACAAGATAGCAAAACTAGCAGCACCGCGATTAAGATTAAGACCAACTAACTGGCTGACCAATTTCTGCATATCAGGTAACACTGCCACAAAAACACAAAAATACCAATTCCATATCCTCACTTACATTTTGATCTTTGTAATTCAAATTGATAACCAGTCCAAAGGGACGGCCACCCATCGGCTCTGCAGGAATGAAGGAATATTCAAATGTGGCCTGTCTCTGTGGTGGAACAATTGTGTTTAGAGGAAGAGCAGTGAAATTCTGAATAAAAAACTGATAATCTTGTGGGTACCGAAATGAAGCATCTAGTGATTCTACGATGAAGTCTTCTGTACCCTTATTAGTAAAGCCTACTAAAAACTTCACAATGTTGTTTGCTGGAAAATCTAGGGGGGGAAAAAGAATGAAAAAATTTAGGGTTTCATTTTTAAGTTTTAGTTTTAAAAAACAAAATAGATAAGATAAGCTAGCCTGATGTAGAATTCAAAGTATGACTCACACCCAGCCTGTCACAAGACCCTCACTTGACACTCCCACACCTGAAGCTCTTATATAAGTAGAACACTGACACAGACATCCACTAAATACCGATGAAGATGTTACCTAGCCTGGTAACGAAGCTTTTGGAAACCAACCCTCAAGCTCAGAGAATGAACCTTCACCCTCATCCTACACCCGAGCTACAGATATACAACACCATTGCAATTCAAAGTATGTTTTACCTTCTCCTTTCACAAACAAAATGGTTGTATCAGCATTAGGTGATGCTTTAGGTTCTCCTGACAGATCATCTTCCTCTTTCTCCTCTGTCTAATATAAAATAATGTTTTGAAAAGCCTATGAGAAACAGTGAAGCAATGAATAGCTAGAATATATAAGTTTATTGTATCTCCCACGTAAAAGTACTTCAATATTCAAATACATTAATTCCTCCTCAAATCTAAGATTTTTAAAGATATAATTACAAAAATGATGTTTAGATCAGAGTATTTCAAACTATGTTCTGGAGAACACAAAATTTGCACAAGAACATGAGATTTGGATCCCTCAAAAGAGGTTTACTCCAAAGTAGCCAATTTTCAATGGCAGTCTTTCTGAGGGATTCTGAGAAATTTAGTTTTTAATAGGTTCAATGGAGAAAGTTTGAAAATCCTTGGCTTAGATAATGAAGTAGGTACAGATTTTGTAATGAAACAGGCATAGACTATAACAGTGGTGGCGAACTTATGGCACGCGTGCCAGGGGCGGCACTCAGAACCTTCTCTGTGGGCACATGTGCCATTGCCCTAGCCTCGCCCCCCCATGACCTCCTCCTCACCAGCAGCCCCCCTGGAGGAGAGTCGCCCCACATGGAGCAGCGTAGCCAAGGACATGGCAGCCAGGCAACATAGACAAGACTCTGCCCTCACGCCCTATCCCGCACAGTTGATGCTGTGGGGCACAGGCAGAGGGCATGGCCACCATGGCGCTGCCTGGGCGATCTGTGGTGGGCCCTGGAGGCGGTGAGTGGCCCTGCGGGCAGGCGAGGTGGGGAATGCGGTGGGGGCGGGGCCAGTTTTTAAGCACTCAGTCTCTAAAAGGTTCGCCATCACTGGACTATAACAAAACCAAATATATTTAACAAATTGATCAGATACTCCTAAACCAGAGGACAAAATTGTTAAAACTGAAAATTTGCTGAAGTCAGCTCAATAACATTGAATATATTAGCATTTAATCAAGTACTTCCTTAAAACTCAGTTGTAATCCTAACTGAGTAGCCAATGGTCTAGAAAATGTATTGATGTCTTAAACCAAATGGAATCAAATTAATTATATTTTAACTATATTAAGAGATATTAATTTTATATGAGCACTGCCTACCTGTATCAGAAATTACTGTAAAGTAACTGAACCAAAATAGTTAAACTCGTAAAGCATATTTTCATCAATTCAAACTTTTATTTAGATTTACTACATTATAACATTTGGTATTATATGTATAATTAATTTGTTTCACTGTATCTGCATAATGCTTCTTAATAATTAAGTTACATATTTCAGCTAGCAAAACTACTTAGTACAGTGTATTCTATTTCAGCTGGGACTCACAAACATCACAACTGTGACAATGTTAACACTCTTGGTAACATATCTATTGTTCAAATAGTGCTGACAGGACACATCAACATGAAATTTAAAAAATTTTGTAGCTGTACCAATTCTGTGGGTTCATCTTCTTCAACTTCAGCTTCATCATCTTCATCCTCAACGATTGTATCTTCTATTGCTTCTTCATCTTCAGTAGCATCTTGGGCAGACACAAGCAAACTGGAACCTAGAGAAATGAAAATGAAAGTTTGCTCTTATTGGAAAAAAGCACTAGAAAACAATTCAAAAAGAGCCACAGGTTGTTTGTTGTTGTTGTTGTTTTAAAAAATCAAACTACTCAAAGGTATACAACAATTAATATATATTAATGTAGTAATTATTCTGCAAGATACCACACATATTATTTCATTTACATTACTGTAGTTCTACTGCATTTTGAAATCACAGTACTCAAATGACTTCACAGTACAGATAGTCCTTGAGTTATGACCATTTGTTCAGTAACCATTCTAAGTTACAATGATGTTGAACAAAGGGGGTTTATGACCACTCCTCAAGAGTTCCTGGCAGCCAGCTCATGATTATATTGGTCATGTGATCATATTTCTGACACTCTCTGGCAGCTTCCCACAACTGACAGCAACCAGGAATGCTGGAATTGAATCCTTAAGCGGAGCACGGAGGTGCCTGAGGGTGTGAGAAACACCCTGGGAAGCTACAGGCCCCACTGACATGCAGAAACCTGTCAGAGCCCTGAACCTCGACTTACTCCCTGCCTCACCAGGCTTGGGTCGATTTGACCAGTTACAAGGTCCAGCAGCGCACATAAATTGTTCCACTTGCAGGAGCACCTTCCTACAGAAGAATGGAGAATGATGCTGGTTTGTCAGTAGCAGGAGAAAAACAGCTGAAGATGAACAGGGCAAAACAAGTTGCTGTAAAGTGCCGGGTGGTGGGGGCAATTGGGGGTTAGCAGAATGGTGCTGGCATGGCTGGTTATGAGCAGCGGCAGCACTAAGGCTGAAGTTGAGGCAATTGAGGCTGGCTAAAACTGCTGAAGGGCTGCTGTGCAGAGTGGTCAAAAGGGTATAGACGGGGAGGAGATAAGTGAGTGGCAGGAGGTGCAATACCCCTGCTCTCCTAAGTGCTGATGGGCCAGGTGGGTGGCTGAGGTTTCCCAGACCATGGTAGCTTTGTGTCATATTGCAGGGCCAGGCTGGGGTGGATGAGATTTCCAGGGCCTGCTGCAGCTTTGTGCCACACTGCAGTGTTGCCCCAGCTCATGTCTGGCCTGCCTTGTGGCTGCTGAGCAAGGGTTACGGGATGTCTTAACAACTGTTTCGCTCAACAACCAAGATTCCAGTCCTAATTGTTAAGCCAAGGACTATAAGTATTTAGCTTATTTCCTCTGTAGAAATATTTTATCTAAGTTGGATCTGAATAATTTAGTAGGGGACAAATCGCGTTCAAAATGAATCTAGGCTCCCCTTTCCAGCTCTAAAATTACAGAGTTAGAGAACAAAACAAGAAATTCTGTTAAATCTCTTAATATTATTTTATTTACTTTATATTTTGTTTTAAGTATTTTCCATTATAAATGATCTTGAGAAGTTTTGTCTATCTACCTCATCACTACCAATTTCTAAAAAAAAAAAACCACAAACAAACAAACAAACCCTGAATTAAATTAATTACTTTACCTGAACCTTCTTCTAGTTTGGGAGAATTGTTTCATAACCTGTGGCGTTAACGTTAATTTTAACAATACTTATACTTTTACTTGGAAGCACTGATATAATTCAGCAAACAACCTAATGAGGGTTGATGTCATAAGTTGCCTAATCACAACACATTGCAAAGCCTGGTGGTATAAAGTATTCTCTAAAATGTTCTTTGGTGTTCTCTGTTATTACTTTTACTACTATTATTGGAAAATTTATATGGGCGACCCATTTTACATATCCAACTTTGGATGGCGAACAACATCCACAAAATTACCTAATAAAAACCTCCAGCAACAAACAAAAAGAATACAGTAATGATTCAGTAACTGAGGTACCATATCCAAACAGTATCCATAACACAACCAAACCAATATAGGCCTCCTCTGAGATCCAAGCTCAATACTTAGAGGAACAGCCAGGTGTTCAAAGCCTTCTGGAAGGCCTGGATCACAAGAAGGTGGCTTTTCCAAAGAGCAGGCCTGTCTCCCAGATCCCACCAGATGACATTGTTTAATAGAAGGGAGCTAGAGTATATCTAGCCTGTCAGATCTGGTGAAACAGACTGAAATCACAGAAATGGGGAGTCCCACAAGTAATCTAATCCTTTAAGCTAGGGCTTTAAATGTGACAATCAGGTTCTTGAACTCCCCCAAGACACATACTGAGATTCAATGCAGTTTTTGCAATAGCCATGTAGCATGGATTAACATTGCCCAGAATGGCTGCATTCTGGACAATTAAAACTTCAGAGTTTTTCAAGGTAAGTTCTATGTAATCCCACTGCAACAATCCAATCTAGAAGTGACTAAAGCATGAGGGATAGCAAACAGAGTCTTCTGGCCCAAGAATGGACACCACAGTGCTGATTTGTGCTAAAGCTCCGCCTCCATCAAGACTGCCAGGTGCTCTTTGAGCAGGAGCCATGAATTCAAGAGGACTCCAAAGTTGTAACTCTAACCAACTCTATTCAGGGAAGGTGCTATCCATTGAGAGCTAAAGCTGAACAAACCCCCACCAAATCCAGGGGGTGACCTTGCCCAGAAGTTTAATTAAACAGGAGTGGGGAGAAAACAAAGCCTGAGGCACCTATATAAGAAATCTCTGATTTCAACTCTCTCCAACACTGACTAGAACTGGCCCTGAAGGACACTCACATCAACACACTATTCTGCCTCCCTCTACTCCTAAACTTCTAAGCCAGTCCAGAAGAATATACTAAACGATGATAACAAAAGCTGCTAAAAGATCCAAGAGGACAAAGATGACTACATCATCAAAGCTCATCCACAAGTGCAACCAATGCTACCTTGGCTTTACAGTCCATTGTGAATCCTGACTAAAAAGGCTCCAAATAATCTGCTTCTCCCTTAAATTGTGCACCTAATATCTTCCCAACAACTTTCCATAAAAAGGGAAGACTGTTGTACAGTACTGTACTATTAGATCCAAGGATACTTTTTTTAGGGGATGGACCATCATCTTGTCATATCGGCCTCAAGCACAGCTCAAATGCTAAGCTCCATATAATCCAGAACTTTTCTTAGAAAATAAAAATTATTTAACATAAAAATTCTAGCTCAATGCTTTTTTATTTATTTATTTAATTTTATTTATATGCCGCCCAATCCCAAAGGACTTTAAAACTTTCTATTATATATATATTTTGTAATTAGATATTAGCTACCAATGATAACTATTTTGTAAGGGTACCCTTTTTATGATCTCAAAATGTACAGAAAAATATAGTTCCTACAAACTCGTTTGCCAAAATTAGGCATAGCATTAAATGAAAAAAAAAAATGCAATAAAGGATTTCAGGACATCTTCAAATAAGAGGGGCCAAAGCAAACTTTCTATAGGGAGAAGAAACAATCAAATTTTCCTTTCTATTATGACATTAATTAGAAAAAAAAATCTAGTCCACCAAGCAGGCACTGCTGAAAAATTTCAGTACGTTTCAATTTGACCAATAAAATATGAAGATCAATAATTTGATTTTCAATGTATTGAGCACATTTATTTATTTAAATATTTGCTGCCCATCTCATTTCGAAGGTACTATGGGGCGGCTTACAGCACATAACATATATGAGCAGTAGCTTCAAAATGCTGAAGTTTTATAAAACCCATAATAAAGAATTAATATATCAAAATATGTAAAGTATTTTATTTCCCAAATTAAACTATTTCATTTATTTATTTCTAGCTACTGTTTGAACCAAATATTCTTTAATGTTTTCTCTTAAAAGAAGCACAACAGACATCTAAAACTTCAGCTCATTTCAGGGTTGTTTTTTTTAAGCCACTAGTATATATTTTAGAAAGAATGATGATGTGGCATCACAGTGGAGGATACTGAACATCTATTAAGGCAGCCAGAAAAATCTAAAAAATTTAGGGTTCTGGTAACTTTCACACTTCTGGTATAAATATAGTAGTTACTGTCAAGGGAAAAAAGCTTGAATAATGTTTGATAGCTAAAAGAAAATGAAATCCTCTAGCATTCATTTGTGGTATTAAGTTAATTCTCAGTCAGATCTTGCTTGGGAAAATAACTAAAAGACATAATACAGGCATTCCACTATAACTACAGTTATTTAAGCATAACTATTAAAAATGAAATTAATATATACAACCCTTCCAATGAATAAGATATGCATATTCAATAGAATTTATATCACTACTTGATCAGAAGTATTGACTTTATTCTCTCACTAAGAAAGTGTCACCCACCACATGAATAAGACATGATTTCACTGTAGTTAAAGTTGGGCAAAAAATGTACCGTATACACTTTACATTTTAACGTAAATCCCAAACTTTGCACTCACCCACTACAATTAGTGCAAATAAAATAAGTAGCAAAGCCCTGAGAAAATTTTGTCAGCATTCCTATTTAAACTAGGCAAAACTAAGATTTTTTAAAATGTGATCTCTGCTCCCTCAAGTCTTTTGTTATCCCCAAGGTTCCGACCCCATAGTCTAAAGATCCCAGAACGACCAATAACCTTGACATAAAAAATAATGAATCAATAAATGTATATATGTACATATGAAATGTACATATATATGATAAATAGAAAAGATTTTGGGCTGTGCTAGATAATTAAAATATTAACTTGCATGGGAAGTTAGCATATCAATTAAAATATGGCCATAGTAAAATATGTATACATAAAACTCAATTTTATAATAATATGAGAGAGAGAGAGAGAGAGAGAGAGAGAGAGAATGAGAATCCACATTGGAAATGTTGTGAATAATGCTCTCATCATTTGGAGTTATGCTTTGGACCTTTTAAAGGAGAAAAGGTAACATAACACAAAATTCTATTAATATTTTATTTGACGTAGCTTATTCACAGACAATAATGCATATAATTGTCTAATAAGAAAGGGCTAGAAATTTATAAATATGCATGCTAGAAAAGTGAACAAAGGGTTTTTTCCCCCTTTTCTCCAATACTTCAGTAGAAACTAATAGGACACTGAGAACAAGCAAATACAATTTAGCGAATTCAGTCCTACTCTAGAAGTGTCTTTAAATGAATATTAAACAAATTACTACTAACAATTTCTGGCAGTAGCAATGGGACAGAGCTATGGCTTTTATGCCTTTCTTATTTGTTTTCAAGAGGTGGCCTATTATTGTAGTTAAGATGATGGACAGTAATTCTTTTCTATGCTACTATGCAAAATTGTATTGCATTTATATCCTGCTGCAACCCAACAGCTTTCAATGGTTTAAAAGATACATAATTCAGAAAAAAGTTAAAACATTCATGGTAAGACACCTGCAGCTACATCTAGATAATCCTGCTGATCTTGAAAAACAGATCAAACTAGATGAGAGGCTATCAGAAAATCCAAGACTGTAGGCTAGATTGAAGAAAAAATATCCTCAGAGAAAAGAACAAGACACTTTTGCTAAGAGAACAACATTGTCACCAGGCCTTGAGTTCAACTTTAAGAGCATTTTACTTTTACAAAGTTATTGACATATGCAGAGCTGCTATGTCTTAAGAAGAAATAACACTACTGCTTTATTAGTCATTGGTTCGCCCAACAATTTACTACTGCTTCCAGAATGGTGAGACTGTGTTATGCTTTTGTTTCTCCATATGTGTATACATATATAATACAAAGTCAACTCAACTATTCACCATTACAGCAGCTGTATGGGTTACTTACTATTTTTAAACTAAAGTGAAGGTCTGGAATATATTTTAGGTTGTTTAGATAACTACAGATAGTTTGGAAGATATTACGGTATGCATAACACGGTGTCAGCATTCTCAGCAACACATAGTAACTTACACTGCAGCCATATGCAAAAAGGGCTTAACTCTCACAATAGGCCAAAGACACGTTTTTGTCCTCCAACCTTGTTTTCCTTCAGATGTATTACCCTATGGATTCACAGCCATGCTAGCCCAGTACAATGAATATACAGTTCAAGAGATCTGGAGAACGACTACATTGCCAAAGAGTGAATATGAGCTAGTACTAGTACCAATTCACATAATTTCAGCAACTTTTTCTGAATTTTTAAACCTTTGTCTAAGATACACCAGAGCATGCCTAGGATATTAACTACAAACAAGTGCAGCCATACTGATTTTCAGTGGATAGTGAATAGCAATTTTAAGATTTCCATTATTTCGTAATATAGTAATCGGTGTCAGTTATTAAAATTATTTCAATAAATTGATTTCACAGGGCAAATGCTACAAAAAGCCCAAGTTAACATAAATCTTTAAATCTATTAGATTGAAAATAACTTAACTGCAATTATGCTAACCCTAACCTATCCAACAAATTGTCAGCTGAGGTCCTGCCAATGGGAAGCACATTACTTCTATTTGCTGTTAGTATTTCAACAACACTCATAATCTCTTCCTTTTTCTCGAAGCGACAGAAACAAACGATTTGATCGTTGCTCGATGGCTAGAGCAGTATCTTACTTGTATTACTTAAAAAGTTTTCTGCTGCGGTCCAAGGCCGAAGATGAGCTCAATGACTTAAGAGAAACTGCATGTGGTTTCAGAGAGGGAAGGAAAAAGCAATCACAGCAGTATCGGGACCTTAAGCAACACGCTACTCCTGTCATTTAAAGCAGAGAGTGTGTGTGGGGTGGGGGTGGGGGAAATAGCCTTCGGTTTTAGCACGTGTCACTTTTGTCAGCCCTCAATAAACGGGACAGAAGCTGCACCAGGCGTTAAACTAAGCTCCAAGTCATTCATGAAAATCAGGGGTGTCGGCGGAGGGATCTGACACGTCAGCCCCAGGCGGGGGAGGGGTGCAGTGCAGACCACCACCTCAGACCACGGACAGAGCACTGAAGCGGAGCGGAGCTCTCGCGCTTTCCCACGACCCACCGACTCAAGAATCTCCTCGCGCGCTGTTCCTATTCCAATACTAACGACCTCCCACTCCTACCCTCCCCCCCCCCGCTTGTCCTCCGGCCCACACGGCACGGCAGCCAGCAACGGTCGCTCTCCGACGGTCGTCATGGTTCGGCCCTCGTCCTCTCCCTCTCTCACCTGGGCCAGATCGGGCACCGCCGAGGAGGAGGACGGCGGGGAAGGCCAGCAGCACGAGCACCAGCAGTTGGGGCAGGGACCGCCTCATGGTCGCGAACCAACTAGCGCCTTCGGTGGCAGCTTGTACTTTTTTTTTTTTTTTCCCTGCCACTAAGCAATGGCGCTAAGCTTCCATCCGGCCGACGTCCCGCCTTTCTTACTCCGCGCCGTCCTGACGTCACCGATCCAGGCACGCAGACCGCTTAACCCCGCCTTTTTCTTCCAATAGAACGATACAGCAGACGTGTCTTCCCCTGGAAGGAGGAGGAAGAGGCACGTAACTCAAAGTTACTCCTCTGGTAGGAGGCTGTCACAGAACGCGTGGCTATCCGCAGGTGCTCATGCGCAGTGGACTCTCTCGCAATCTTTCTCCGCGCTTGCTGGTTTCCTTTTAAACACCGCATTTGACCTCCGGCGATCTTCGCATAGCGCACGCGCATTAGCTTTGTCACGTGCTGTAGTGTAAAGGTTGGGGTTGCGTTTAAACTTAAGGGCTTTGCAAAAAAAAAAAAAAAAAAAAATTCCGCTGGCAGATTTGTTCCACGAAAAATATATTTTCACACGAAATATATTTATTTTTGTATATGCGTATTGTATTTAAACTTTTTTTTCCCCTTTCAACGGCGGCTTAGATGAATTTCAGATACTCAATAGAGCGAATTTGATTGGAAGATCAAACTTCAACAGCAACAAGTTGGCTTTGGGGGCAGAACAGCCTTTCTGAATACAGGCTACAGTTAGTTGTAGGGTTTTTTTTTTTTCTTAAATCCTATTTTTAATTTTATTTTTAAGTTGGTTTATTATGAATTCAAGTGAAGTCTTAAAATTTCCATTCCTAACCATTTTTTATCTGAAAATTTAACAATGGTGCATGTACTTTTAATTAATGCCCTAAGTATGCCCTGTGTTGCCCTGGGGCATGGATATGAAAATACCTCAAAAGTTTACTGAAATATGTGAAATTGTTACCCCACAGACACTGTTCCACAGTTTGGTCATTCCCCAGATCCCCCATTGGGCTTATTTTCATTAAACCTCAGTGGCATGGCTGTGAAACTCGGTAGTAGAGTGATATAATGGAAAATAGGTTAGAGGTTCATTGATAGCCTGATTATGTGCCATCAAGTCATTTTTGACTGCTAGCAATCACATAGATATTCTTCATGACAATCTACCCCAATCATCAACTATTTATTGCTTCTCTTTGTCTTCTTAAAGGAGAAAGGGTGTCTCTTCTACACTTCTGCATTTCCTGTCCTAACTTTCAGTCCATAGCATTTATTCTATTACAGAAAGCTGAGACTTCTTCTAACTTCCAGTGGTACATAATATATTGTTTGTGTCCAACTACTGTTTATTACTGTTATCAGTTGCATTTGTACATTTGTCAACTTTCCTTTTGGAGACTTGAAAACTATTCTAGTGCTTCATTTCTTTGATGGAAATCTTCCTATTTTTGAAGTGTGAACACTAATTGTTTCAGCCTGATGTCTTTTTTTTTTTTTAAATTAGAGTTTGCAAGTGTCAGCAGCTGCAAATATATGCCAGGATGGTTTCAGGGGAAAAGAACGCAAACATGCCACAAGCATTGCTGGTCAATAGTTATAGCTCTATTGATTCATCTTTAATTCATCTTCTTGGATCATCACTAGTATAAAATCTTATCTTTCCCCATGTTTACTTTTCAGTCTCTTCAGCTACCCAAGTATAAGCAATTAGTTTAGAACATTTTATCAGGACTGCAAGTTTCTTACCAAGCTCTACAAGTAGACGCCAGGTAAATTTCCATATCTGCTTGTTTTGTAAGGTTCTTTTTTCTGTTGATACCAATCTATCTTGTATTCCTCTTAACATCTTTTTTTATTCAGCAGGAAGCCATCATTCAGTCATTTACAATGAGCAATCGGCATTTCTCAGGCAGTCAGAAGCTATTCTGATACGAAATTTTCATCATAATTGAACATCCAGTTCCTTAGGACACACTTTTAATAGATCCACAGTGATATCTCAATATATGTTTTGGCATTGAAGATTCAAATATGGAACGCTATCCTAGATATTCTTCAGAATATCAATAAATTTAAATCCATTCATTATGGCAAAATGAACCCAAACAAAGGGAAATAACTAACAGACAAAAATCCCAGTTACTATTGGAGAAATATATATTCATTATTCTAAGCACAGCATGTGTTAAACTAACTTAATACTTGAGAGAAACGACAAACAAGTATGAATGGGATAAAAAGCATAAACAAATGAGTTGTGAGACAGGAGCTGTTAGATTCAAGAAAGGGTATTAGAATGTGACAAACCTCTGTTTTGGAGACCTGACTCCTTTGTAGATAGTCCCTTGTTGCTTTAAAGATTCAAGTCTCAACATTTGGGTCTGCTGAGTAGAACACTCAATTATATCCAATTTTGTAATTAGTAGTTGATTATCCAAGTTATCATGGTTCTCAATTAATTGTATTTGTATATCTATTTCTGTTGGTTTTAAGATTGTGAGTGATTTTATTACAGTCATTTTTTGTTCATCAATCAGAGATCTCTTTAGATTGTGTATAAAATGAAGTTGAATCTTCTTTAATGTTGATTAGTTCCGCTTCTATTGTTTTTTGGTTTGTAAAATGCTCAGATAAAGTCTGGAGGTCATTTTATAGGCTCAAGATAGAATTTCTGTTTTTTATTTCTGTAGTATACTCTTTTATTTGTAGACATATTTGCTCAGTGGCTTCATAAATTTTTTTCAATATAGGTTTGCAGTTGAATTGTGAATAGGGTTTCTCCATTTCAACAGTGATTAGAAACAGTCCTGTTACCTTTTAGTGGAGGCTGTATTCAAAAAACATTTAGCCAGTGTCCACTCCCACAAATACAGCTGTTGAATTTCTTTGTCTTTTCCCTTTTATGGTGATCTGAAGGTCAAAGCCAATCTCAACATCAAACAGAGAAAAAAAAGACAGTTGCAATTTTAACTTTCTCCACAAGGTGTCCTCAGTAGACTGTAAAATCTCTTCCCAGACACCAAAAATGACTTGACAAGCTCAAAATATATATATATATATTCTTCACATATAGACTAAATCCAACAATAGGTTCAATTATAGAAGTTTTTTCAAGACCCCAAAGTAGATGAGAAAGTAAGAAATAGTCAATTAAAATTGATTTTCAGTCCATTTAAGCTTCTTTTCCCACACTCACAAACGCTGCTTTCTTAAAGCAGGGAAATAGTTCCAGAAATGCTTTTTACAGGAAGCAAAAAAGAAAAGAGGACTGAGAGAGGAGAAAAAAAAAGTCTCACCTGGATCAACCACGGTGGTTCTTGCACTTAGATGTTCTTCTGACTTCTGGTTACAATAGCAAAATGATCAGCCATTTTACTGGCCGATCTTTCCTCCGTTGGCCCTAAGGAGCATTTCTCGGACCACAGAAGGAGCTGCCGCCCTTCCACAGTCGACGAGGGCCTCCTCAATGGTAGTTGCCCCTCCAGGGCGACTTTTTGACCCGATTAAGGGTCTACCGGCAGAGGGAAAACAGCCGGCGAAGAGAGCATTCTCTCTGCATGGCTGTAAACGCCACAGTCTGGAACCAGAATCAAAGAGTGAATATGAGCTCTTTCTTGATTCAAATGATAACTACAAGGCACAAAAAGAGACTTCTTTGTTGATATAGAGACTCTGTTATGGAAACCTACTTGGCATAAAAAGAAAGCTAGAATAAGATTTAAGAGTGTGATTTAAAACTCTATACAACGGGTTTAAAAGGTTTTTTAGACACGGATTGATTCATGGTTTAAGATGGGTAAATAAGACGTGAGATTGAATAAAGATTAATTAAATATTTGAACTTAGTAAGATGTTTGTGTACTAACATGTTTGCTGTGGATATAGCTTTTGGGTGGGGGTTAAAGGAGTTTGATATAGATTTTAAAAAATAGAGTAGAAATGTATTTTTGGAGTAATATTTTTGCTGTTAGAAAGGATAGTTATTTTGTAATGAGAGAAGAATACGAGAGATTTTTTAAAAAAGAATAAATGATATTAATAAATGATTACTGACTATGTCAAGGAAAAAGGGAATGGAGAGACACCTGAAGTGTTAATAACATTTTTAGTAGCAAAATGGAATATGGTAATTGAAAATAGTAAAGCCTAATACAGTATTTGGATTTATATAGATGAAATGTTATTGATGATTGCTTTGATTGACTTAACTGTATTGAAATATATTAATTTGAATATATTATTTGAGGAAATAGAGAGGGAGCTTTTTAATGATTTAATTTGAACTATACATGTATGATTTTGCTCTTGGATAATTGATTATCCTGTCATCATATTGTTTCTTAAGCACTTGTTTGTAAAAAAAAAAAAACAATAAAACTTGTGTTTTTTTTAAAAAAAAAGAATGTGACAAACCTAAAAATTTATATACTAGATTCATGTATTTAAACCAGAATGTTTCACATACATCTGGATTTTTACCTATAAACACTACCACATGTCATATTTGCATCACTCCTGGATTCTGTTCTTTGACAGCTGAGTTGATTCACTTTTAACCCAGTTGCAATGTAGAGAAATTACTCTTGCACCAGTTTTCTCCTAGAAATGCTTGACTCTGAGGGATTTTATTTTTCCATTAAAGATAACTATTTCTTCCAAGCTTTTATACCAAGGTACCTAGCAGGTTCTGTTAGAAAAGATGAATTTTCTTGGTATTCTCCTGTGGTGATAAAAGTTCCTTGTGATGTCACAAAGATGGTTTTTGAAAAGAATCAGTTAGTGACTTCTTCTGAAGTAAAGTACATACACACAGCTGAAGAGGAAGCTGAGCAATAGTTAGCAGATTCCTCTGAAAAGCCTGGGACAGTCTCAATGGATCCAGAAAACGGTCTACATTTTGATATTAAAGCCATTAGAAATAATGACAATAAAAAAGAAAGCTATGGAAGGGCATGAATCATTCCCTTCCCCGTTTATGTATGATCAAGTATAATTGGAACTTGGAACATGTGAAGACAAAATTATCAGGAAAAAGTATACATTTGAGCTTAGTGCTTTATGCACTTAAGTGGCAGTAAATTTCATGGGACTTGGTACTCACACTACGCTCAATCAATTTAAGATCAGTTAAGTGATAACTGCAGTTATAATGTTATTTTTTTAAATTTTAATCTAGTGGAAAATCTAGTCCAGTTGATAGATTATGGTTTGACTTATTTTGTAGATCCAGAAAACCTGTTAATTCAATCATCAAGTTAAGCATGGAGGCAGCCTTACACAATTCTGACCCCTCTCTTCAGAAATACTTATGATGCCAAAGAAAATTGAGTTAGGATTAGAAAATGACCCACCGATTGAACCTGACAAGTTCCTAATTCCAAATCTTATCTGCATATTGTTCACAAATGTTTGAAAAGTAGAAATACAAATTTTAATCATTTTTAAATCTTCAACTATCATATGAAGACTGACACAACACTTTCCTCAGTTATTAATTGTTGTTTAGGGAGAAAAGACGGTGGTTGAACTTTCTTTTTGTCTGACTTGCACAACTCCTGAAATATTGAGTAATTCTCATAGATACTGTATAACCACATGTAAAAATCTCTTTGTGTAATTACTGTTTAAAAGATCAAAAATTGCTGTAAAGGATGTTGGGTTATGGTAACACTTGTAGACACCATCTTGACTGCCAATATCTGGAAGTGTAATCTAGTGAACAGAGAGTATATTGCTATATTTTGTCCACACAGAAAACATATGTGTATTGTACTTCTGCTTTTCACATACTCTTGTTCCGACTCTGAAGCATGCATTCCTCTGATGTTGTGTTGGATTTTAATCTTTTTGAAACATCATACTTGTAAATAATTTGGGAATAAATCTCAAATTTGCTCCCTCGAGACTTTAAGAATAAGCAAATAGCATCATAAGATGACATCCATGTTGTATGAGAAGGAATTTAAACATTTTGCCCTTCTCTTGACCTGTATACTCGCAACTTGCAACACCCTCTCACAGTAAAGCATATTAGAGATTTTTGTCTACTTTAAATTGCAGACAAGTGGAGGCAACACTTGCCCTCTTAAAGTCTTGATTTGGATCCAGTCCTTAGTCCCTGAACTTTAATGCCTTCTATGTTGGATGGGCAAAAAGAAAAGCTACTCCTTCATCACTTGAAAATCATGACATAAATAATTAGTACATTAATACTGCGAACATACTACAGTAGCTGAGCCATAGCTAGAGGTTCCCTAATGCTGAGAAAATGAATGTTAGCTATTTTCAACTCAACATGGCAGTTAATGTAGTGCTATACTAGTTTCTGATTTCTTTCTTCATGAATAAGTTTCTTAGTATTCCTTCTGGCCAGGAGTCTTCAAACTTGGCCCTTTTATGACTTGTGGACTTCAACTCCCAGAATTCCTCAGCCAGCGTGCCTGGCTGAGGAATTCTGGGAGTTGAATCCACAAGTCATAAAAGGACCAAGTTTGAAGACCCCTGCTTTTGGCAATAGTCCACTGCAATGGTGAATTGTACCTTAAAGAGGATGCAAAAGATTTTGATTAATGTGCATGTTTTTTTGGGAAAAAAATCTCTATCTAAAAAGATAAAGCCAATAATGTACTACAATATTTCAGTTGTATAGTAAATGATGGAACAAGACAATTACATTCTCACTAAGAAAGAAGTCAATAATTTAATTAGAAGGAAATTTCTAATGAAAGATATTGTGGCCCTGAAAGGATTTTAGAGACCAACATTATAGGCTGGGAGTATCGCAACTGCACTATGCAAATTCCAGAGTAAATAACTAATGTTGAAGTAACCCTTGTATACTGGGGCTCAGTTCGTCCTAAGAGAGCCCTTACAGAATTTCAGAAGAACAAAACTATTGAAACTTTCTATAGATCTGGTAAAAATGCATTGATTATCAAAGGTCTTATTTAACATTATTTCCGATCATGTGCAGAAACGCAATATACACCTAACATTTTGAAGGAATCATTATTGGAGTCCATTGTAAAGGAGTCACCAATGATAGCAAGTTTTCTTACTACAGGGTCTGGTGGTGGTGAAAGCAATATGGTACGTTTTCCTATCATGGTGTGCTTAAAAATGAAATGAAACTAATGAAGTGCACTGTTAGAAAAGGATGGATTACACAGATTACTTGATCCTCAGTTTTGTTGCTTCCAGATGAGTACAGATAATAAGGGACTGAGATGACTCCCTTACTGACAGGATAACCCCATGACCAGGCAGTTATTATTCCAATATTTTATAGCACGTTCCTATATTGGTTGCAATTTATTTAAGGACATCCTATTTCCTACAGTGAATGTTGAAGTATCAAAAACCTTGAATTACTGCTTTGGTTTCCAATGCCAATTTATGCTGGAGAAATACTATATTCTGTCTATAACTATACATTGAATAGGATAAGAAACTTCTAAGACAGTGGATACACTAGCAGGTCAATTTTTTTTATTACTATAAACATTTTCAATACTATAACGAGAAAGACAAACTGTCAAGAGGTAGGACAAAATCAGCAAGCAATGCTGGTGGCCTTTTCCAGAGCAGCATACATTAAAATAATACATTTCTAGAATCCTGCAACGTACCTATCTTCAATACCCTTCCCCCCCCCGGAGTATTAGAACTTCTCATTGGTCCACAGGCATTCTTAGGAAATTAAATTTCTAAATGACTACATAGCCCAATACTTTAAACAAAATGTGTCCTGAAAAGAAGTCAGAGGTAAACTGAAGGCCATGGTAAGAAACATCCTAACTAGTTTATATTCCACAAATGGACCTTTTGACGGCTGTTTTGTGAATGGGCAAAGGCAGCTCAGCTTGGGAATGCCTATCAGACACCGAACACACAGCAATAGATTTCCTAGCAACACCATTTCGGAATGTTTAAATTAATTATTTGTTCTTGGAACTGATACCTTCTTGTGTGTTTCAATATGAGTTATTGTATTGTTTTTCACAGGAAAGATGTCAGGGCAGAACTATACCTTGTGTAGAGAAGATAGTGACTACCTCCTTGGAAACTGAATTAAAAGAAAAAATGAAGAGACTGATATTTAAAAAAAAAGTATTGGCAAAAGAGGTAGGGTTAGTTGTTACCTACAACAGTAAGTGATCTAACTCCATACAGGTAGTCCTTGGCTTACAACAGTTCACTTAGTGACTGTTTGAAGTTACAGTGTCACTGAAAAAAGTAACTCATGACCATTTTTGATCCTTACAACCCTTGCAGCCTCCTCATGGTCATATGACCAACATTCGGATGCTTGGCAACTGGTTCGTATTTATGACGGTTGCTGTGTCCCAGGATCATGTGAACACTTTTTGCGACCTTTTGACAAGCAAAGTCAGTGGGCAAGCCAGCTTCTCTTAACAATTGGATTATCAACTTAACAAGTGCAATGATTCACTTAACAACTGTGGCAAGAAAAGTCATAAAATGGGACAAAGCTCACTTAACAACTGTCTCACTTAATGACATAAATTGTGGGCTCAGTTATGATTGTTAAGTTGAGGACTACCTGTAATTGATGCCTTATGTCCACCCATGTCTTCTAACACTTCGGCTGTAGCCTCGATAACTCCTCCAGAACTCAGTACCAAATTCTAATTTGCATTGTAACTAAAGTCAAACATGTATTAAATACGTGACAGTTAATATTGTTTGTAATTAGCTTAATTTATATCATAAAATACAGATTAAATCAAAGTTTGGTTGTCCTGAGACCTGTCCTGAGACCTGTCTTTCCAAGCATTATATCCTTCTCCAGACAACTATCTTGGCATAGTGTGTCCAAAGTAGGATAATTTGAGTTTGATTATTTGTATCTTGAGTGACAACTCTGATTTATGTGATGGTCCATTTGTTTGATTACTTTGCTGTTCACAGTATTCTCAGGAATTTTCTCCAGTACCAAAGCAAGATACGTTCTGTCTTGCTTCACCAACTTTTCTTCCATGGAATATCCAAGGAAAACCAATGGTTGCACTATTCTGATCATTCTCCTATGTATACCATTATTAATTTCTAGTTACAAGAACATAAAAAAGAGATAGCAGCTCTAAGAGAGATGATGATTAATATGAAATCATCTGAAGATCATGATTTTGAGGTGAGTTCATAATGGGTATTTAATGAAAAAATATAAAATAGGGGAAAAACAGAGAGGGTTGAGGTGTGATTTCTGTTTAACAATAAGCAAAATTTAGAAGAGAGAGAGAGAGAGAAATGACTGTTTTTGTAAAAATTAACAACACACTCCAGCCTCTGTGTTTTCAAAATCTTTTTTTTTTAATAAGAGGAAAAAAATAGGAGCAAACAGCAGAGAAGCTGTAGCAAATCGATTCTACTTTGTTAAACTTTGTGCAATCTTCTCAGAGGATTCAGCTAGCCATGATAATATTCTATATTGAGTATTGAAAAACAAGATTTATGTTAGTAAATAAGATGTTCTGTGTTAACAGCAGCTTGACCCATTCTCTGAGTTCAGATGATGTGGTAAACCAACTATAAAGATGGTTTAGAATGTTATCAAATATAGTAATTGGGTTGAAAAAAGTGATGAAAAGAGCATTTAGACAGAAGGAATTGTGCAAATTGATAGAAAGTATGCTGGGAAAATAAAGAGACAAAGATGAAGAACTTGTCCTTCTATTACAATTGGTAATTTTAAAAACCAATGTTCTCAAGTTAATACATTAGTATTGTTCATTAAATTTATATGCCACCTGATTTTCTACAACTATATTTTTATTTTGAACTGTTCCAAAAATGTATAATAATTTAATAGTAATCTTTGTGTACATACAAACGATTAGTCTGTATTTTTTTATTTATTAACACAATTCAGCACTGTTTAGCAGAAGTTATAATGTTAGATATAATGAACCATTATTGGTGGTAAAGATTATGCTTTAACTTTCTGCTTCAGATACACAAGGAAAGAATTAAGTTCATGCATTCTGCTAAGTAGTAATATGATCTGTCTAGTTTTGGCTTATGCATTATGTAAATCTGGACAGTTTGGTTTATAAACCATGAGCTATAACTAGCATGGGTTATATATGAACTCAGTCATTGGGGATTATTTAGCAAGCTTTAGTTAAAATAAGCCATGATTTAGCACAAATGTATGAACTCAGTTATTGTTTCCTTCAATAGCTGTGTAATACAGTCTGTTTCTATTTTACCTTAAATGAATGAAATTGGGTAAAAGCATCTTACTCAAAATTGGATAAAAATATGTTACTTAAGATTGCTTAGTTTCCATAGTAGATCTAAGTGTGAATATGAGGGATTCCCATTATTTCAGAATATTTATTTATTTATTTATTTAAATGATTTGTACAGTATGGTTGCCCCGCTTGAAAAATATAACTCTGGGTGTCTAAGTTATGGTTAAAAGCAAAAAAGGTAAATAGTAAACATAAAAGAACCATAATAAAGTATGAAAACAGGGCCCAAAAGCGCCTAAAACATGTTAACAATCCTAAAGCAATTTTCTAGTTTGTCGTCATCTATGATCCTAACCCAGGGTGGGGGGAACAAGTGTTTAAAGGCAGCAGGGACACATCATCCAAATCTTAGGAGCTATTCCAAAGATTTGGATGGGGTGTCCCTGCTGCCTTTAAACACTTGTTTTTTTCCCCCCTGGGTTAGGATCATAGATGACTGCAAACTGGAAAATTGCTTTAGGATTGTTAATATGAGAGTGAAGGCACACACTTCCTGGGTCTCATTAGACGTCACTATTTCCTGGAGGGGCCTAAAGCATACTGAGTTTGTCAGATCTTGTGGGATGGGAGACATAGAAACTACAGCACATGGCCTTGTACCATGAAGGGCTTAATAGATAATAATCGGCATTCTGGCATTGCACCTGGAAGCCTATAGAAACACAGTGCATTTCACAAAGTAATGGTACCACTCCCACCTCTGCATTCTGAACCAATTATAACTTCCATATTGTCTTAAAAAAATAACCCCCGTATAGTGTGATGCAAGTATTCTCTGTGGAGGTGACCATATCTAGGAATGGGCATAACAAGACGATTCCCAATCTAGGAATGGGCATAACAAGACGAGGCTGTGCAAGAGGGCTCTTGTCTTCAGTTGCCACCAGTTCTTCAAGCAAATGGAGTAAGATTCCTAATTGTATACCAGGTCTGTCTGGCAGAGTGCTATTCTGTTCAGAAGTAAAGCAGTCAGTCTGGCTTGCTTGGACTGAATCAAAACCTATTATTTCCCATTCAGACCTACAGAGCCAACCAGTCACTGGAAAAGAACTCTGAGAGCATCAAGTGATTGTCCTGATGCAGAAATATAAAAGTTACATATACCCCAGGCTGATGGGGCCTCATTTAGTAGCTTCCTACAGAAATTAAATAATAGCAAAGAGAGTAGAGACCTGAGGAAACCACCCAAGTAGGGGTCTACAGCTAGATTTGTCTCCCCTCTCCCACAACACCAACACAAATCAGCCTTAGAAAAATGAAGAGAACCACGTCAGCATTATACTCTCCATTCCCAATTCTAGAAACTAATCCAGAAAAATACCATAATTAATGATACTACAGCTGCTGAGAGGTTAAGGAAGGATCGGATGGATGCATCACTCCCATCCTGCCCTGCCACAGGTCATCTATTAGTAGGTTCCTAAAAAGAGACGCTGGACAGGACAAAAATTATACAGATTTGTTGGACGTAGAGATGATTTATTGAGGAAGGAGTAGACTACCATCTTTTTAAGACCCAGCAAAATGACTCCCTCCTTCAAGGATACATTCATTACCCCCGGATCCAACTACATGTCATCACCTGAGAGGCATTAAACAGCCAAGAGAGACATGAATAGAAAGGTGATCATAATTACAGTCCTGAGGACTCTGACCACTTTCTTGGAACTGAGAGGCTCAAACTCCCTCCAGGTACTGATAATTGGATTCATGCCCAGTTTAGATCCAGATCTAACATCAGTTACAGAGCTGGTCTTCTACCCTGGCTGAAGTGGAAGTCCCTTCAGCTGTAACAAACCGCTATGTCAACAGGTTGTCCAAAGGGAATTCCAAGACTCTGCAAATCTTCCTCAGGTTCCTGCAACTTCTGCATATCCATATTGATAGGCTTATCCAACCATTTCTAAGGCACATCCTGACCACATGCTTGAGTGCCATTGCAAAAAATAAAAGCCTTCCACTTCCATTTATGGCTTTTAAAAGTCACTTGTTCCTTTTCTTTCTTCTGTAAAAATTTGACTTTGTTCCTCCAACTACAATCTGTTTATTTCTTTCCATATTGTTTTCTCTTGTTTGTTTCAGAGTGACAGTTGGCCTTAGCACTATGAAAATTCTCTTCTTTAATCCTTTACTTTCTTTCCATTCTTTTAAACTCTGTAGAATTGTCCAGCAGGATATCTTATACTATTGTTATTAATGATTAACTTAGGATTTGCTGGTAGATGAATTTGGTAACAGTTACTTAACTCTCCTCATCCCCTATGTTTTGTTCAGTCCTTCTCTGATGGAATATGTAGGATATACAATGATTTCAAATTCATTTCATGCTAAGTAAGAGGGGGTTTTTTTAGAATGCAAAGATTTTTTAGAATGTAATGTAAAAAAAGTGTAGAAGAAAATAATTTTAGTTAACTGATGTTAAGTAATTGCTGTTATTTTTCATAGACAAAGAAGAGATCAATAGGATCAGATGAGTAAATACTACAAGAAATATCAACCTTTACAAACTTATTTATTTCATTTTTTTCTCTTATTTTTGCTTGAATTTGAGAGCTGCGCTGAGAAGCGAATTGACTGAGAAGACTATGATATACTTAGTGCTAAACTAAGCGGGTTCTGAGAACATTACTAAACTGCACTCCCTTTTGAATAAAATTCCCTTTAAAGTACAAAGCATTATACTTTTTCAAAAGTACTTCCATATGCTTTTCATGATGTTCACTACATTTGTTTTTTACATTTAGTTACTTATGAATATGAATTTTATTTATCCTGATTAGAATTTCTCATAAGTCCACACAATGTTCTGTGTAATATTCAGAATATTAATCTCATTCTTTGCTACATATATGTGGCTTTGTTTAGGACACATATTGATTGATTTATAAAGCACTGGGTCACCTAATTTGTTTAACTAGGGCTCAAGACACAAGATGCTACTGCTCCAGATAAAATGCAGCAGCAATTCATCAAAGGAACCTGTAGATGTCCTCATATTATAACAGAAGAAGCCAAGTCCTTGTTCAGTAAGCTGGTCTTTCTTAGTGGGTTTTACCCACTGGGTATTTTTGCAAAATACACAAGCCATTATCAGATCTTTAACTAGAAGAAATACACACACACACACACACACACACAATTTATTTTTACTGCATTCTGCATTAGCCAGAATCCATTTAGAGATTCTGTTTCTAGTCTCTCCATTAACAGAATGTTGAATAGAAGAAAAATGACAATGACCAAGGTCTGAAAACCAAGTCCCACAAAAATAATGTAAAAGATCTGAGAATATTTAGATAATAAAACTGAGTGGAGATAAGTGTCACAAAAAGAGCATCACACACATAAAAAAGATGTTTCAGTGCTCCAGAATGCTAAATATTTTTGTTGCAAGAAGGCGATACCCCTTGAATGGTAGGAAAAACTTCCTAACAATAGGCAGTTCAGCAGCAGTTCTACAGTTGCCTTGTACAAAGACCAAGCTCTCACCCATTCTTCCACCATTAGACCTTTTAATTCAGAATCTTTGGACGGATTTCAGCCAAGGAGTCTCAGTAGAAAAAAGATAGGGACAGACAGTGACATTTCAAGGTAATGTAACTTTTGTGCCAGCTTGGATTGATAAATCCTTGATTGCACAAAGTTGCTCTCATTTTATCCCCAATCTATAAGTTAGACAATCTTAACTCATCAGCTTAACAGTATAACAGTGGAATTTCCTTTCTTATTTCATTGCTGCCCTATTATAGTTTCAAGTGAATAAGATAACCTTTATTGTCATTTTTATACTGTGGGCACAATGGCACACATCAAAAATGAGATTTTGTTGCCCGCTCTCAAAGTGAAACATATACATGACACACACCTAATGGCACACCTAAACATACTATGAACAACATATATATAGACCCACATCTCTACATATACGTAGCAAATAAATATTAAATATTGTCCATCTTGAATATATAACGGAAGGAGGAAGCTTGAAAGTTCGCAAGGTTTGAATACATCAAAGAAAGGTCTACAAAAATTAAATATTGATTTGCCATAAAATCAATCTGAGAGGACCCACCTGGCAGAGGAAAGGTTTTACTATTTTATTTTAGATCTGTGCTATTAGAGCTTCAAAAGCTGTAAAGCCTGCAATGCTTTGTCGTCTATTATCTCAGTCTGATGATTCCCCCCCCCCTATCAGCTGGAAGTGGAAATGAGGCAAAGCTAGGCGGAATCTTTTTCCTTGTACACTAATAAACAAGAGACTACCAGCTGAAAGTGTTATGCCTACTGCAGCATAGGGATCAACAATGGGGCAGCAAATATTACGATAATATTTTAATATTACATCGGCATAAAAATGAGCCAGTTGCCAAACATTTTAATTTTGATCAAGTGACCATAGAGATGCTGCAACTCGTAATTATGAAAAACAGTCATGAGTCATTTTTTTTGTTGTAACTTTGAACGGTCACTAAGTGGACTGTTGTAAGTCGAGGACTACCTGCACTCTTCTGGACAATTAAAGGCCTGATCACCATCAGAATAACCTCTTGGTAAGAAAGAAGGCCTGGAAGAACGTTGTCTATGGGGTAGCGATCGGTCGGACACGACTTCGGGACACGACTTCGCAATTAACAACAACAATAAAGACCAACATTTCATCCCCAGTATTTTACAGGAGAGTGAAAACGGGGGGGAGGGGAGGGGGAGTTTCCGTCGGCACCTTGCAGTATTCCTTTGCACCACACAGCACAGCACAATGCCACAAAACACAGGGATTCACCTCCAGAGACTCCCTGACGGAGGCTAAGGGCGGAATTGGAGGAGGAAGCAAGACGCAAAGGTCTGAGGGGCTGCTGTGCAGGGCTTGCTCTTTTTTTTTTTTTTTTTAACCTAATAGCCAGAGGTCCCAGGCCGGCCACAGCTTCTTTCCTTTCCAGACTCCGCGAGATAGAGCGGCATGGCTTCGGGCGATAGAGAGAGAGGGCGGCGCACTCAACTCGTCCTCGGCTCCAAAGATTTCCCCGGGGAAGTTAAGAACAACAACCGTCCGCTTGGAGCCGCTCAGAAAGAGGCGGCAACTTCTTAACACGACAGGTTTCCTGGGACGTGAGAGCGCCTCGGCAGCCCGCGCGATACCCGCTTGCCTACCGCTGCGGTGCTCTCTGGTTTCCTTCCCCGCTCGCTTCTTCGCGGGCGTTCCGCAGCTCACCTGTCCGCCAAGAAGACCTAACTTCTCTCGCTTGGCTAGACGCCAATCTTCTGATTCGTTCTCTACCGCTTTCCTCTTTGCACGAGTTTGGCCCCGGCATTTGAGAAATCGTATCAACGAACAACAATGAGCCCAACCACCACAAGTTATTTCTCTTTGGGTAACTTCGCTTTCTCTTTTGGCTTCGTTGCTAAAGTGAGGAACGAGGTGTATCTCTAGGCCAGGGGTAGGCAACCTCGGCTCTTTTATGACTCATGGACTTCAACTCCTAGAATTCCTGAGTCAGCTATGCTTATTCAGGAATTCTGGGAGTTGAAGTCCATGACTCATAAAAGAGCCGAGGTTGCCTACCCCTGCTCTAGGCTAAGTGGCGAAAGACCACGCAGGAGAAATGTCCCGGAAATCCAGCATCCCAGCATAAGAAGACACTGGCCTCCGATCCATTTATCCTGTGGGCTGGCGGACCTCCGAAATCCTATTTTGCATCTTTTCTGTAGCCTACATTGTACAGTATAGCTAAATTGACTGTGCAGAGGGTGGGTCGTCGCCATCTTATTACAGTAATGGCAGTTCCTTTTTCTTTGTTGGCTTGCTTAAGCTCTAAGTTGTGAAAAGTGTTGATCGCAATTAGCTTTATCGAATGAATGAATGAATGTCAAAAATATTAGTTCAGTGTAAAAGGTTCCTATACCAATAGGCTGTCTAACTGTTTCAATAAACAAATTCTAGAAATTGTTTAATTCTTTAATTGGCTCACATGTCAATAAACTGCCTTTCACTTATTTAGAATGTAAAAATTCCCATTTTGTCTAAAAAAACATTAATTGAAAACTGACTCCCTTTTTCTGGGCATATTGCAACCAAATCTATGTGTATTATCTTTATTATTAACCTAATTATAAGGTTTGATGGAAAGATTTTGAGAATAATCTGTGGGATGTGGGATCACAGGACCTGGTTTGTTGGGAATGCAGGTATTTTTCTGACTCCCCGTAAAGTTTTTTATATAGTGTAGTTGACATACTGTAGCCAATTTACCCGCAACCCATTTCTAGAAAAAGGTCAGACAAGATTTCCCCTTCAAAAGCCATTTCTGCCATTTCCTCCTGATACTCTCCTATGCTTCCCCCTCATCTCTATGAAATTTATTTCTGACAAACAATTCTCATTAACACCAAACTGATTGGTGTTACAAGTAATGAAGTCTTTGAACTACCTCTCCTACTGGCTAGCTGAAAATACAGAAGCCTGTAGGTTTTTCACCTCCACTGTATTCTGCTTCTCTGTTTGAACTAGCCCCAACACTTCCCCCTTTCCCCTCCTCCAATTTCTCTTGTGAAATTGCAATAGCACAGACTCATATACCTTACAGGCTTTCTAAGCAGTTTAGTCAGCATATTGCATCCAACTATCTGGGTCATCATTTTACCAACCTCAGAAATGATGGAAGACTGAGTCAACCTTCAGCCAGTCAACATCGAACACCTGGCAGAGGGCAGCGTTACTCTGCAATACTTGTATTCTAATCATTGCACTACATCAACTCCTAAAAATGGTGCAGTGGTTAAATTGCTGGAGGGAGACCAGCGAGATCCAGGTTCAAGTCTCCACATAGTCACAAAAACTCTGTGTGACTTTGGCCCAGTCACTCTCTTTTAGTCCAGGTTATTTCACAGCATCACTAAGGTGGGATAAAATGAAGGGGGAATCCCTGTGTAAACAGTTCCTGGTGGGAAGGTGAGATATAATTTTAACAGATTTTAAAGGATTATCTTCAGGAATGTCTAGATAGTGCAAGCACTCCAGGTTTTTTTTTTCCACCTTGTAATCTATCCCATTCTAGAGTGCCCCTAGAGTGCCCCTATTCAGTAAGTTACAAACAACACAACATTGAGCTCAAAAACCAAACAGCTGCATTATGGTTCAGCATTTTGCATGAGTGAAGCCACCATGTTCAGTTTGGTGGTGGGGGGGCATATTGAAAGAAGTTTCTTCATCATTAGGTCAGTGATGTCCCACAGTGGAAAAGTGAGATCCTTTCTTTGCAAGGGGCTACCCTATCCCATCCACTTCATAGTGCTTTACAGCGCTTTCTAAGCAGTTTAGTCAGCATATTGCCTCCAACTATTTGGGTCATCATTTTACCAACCTTAGAAATGATGGAAAGCTGAGTCAACCTTCAGCCAGTCAAGAACGAACTCCTGGCAGAGGCCAGCGTTACTCTGCAATACTTGTATTCTAATCATTGCACCACATCAACTCCTAAAAATGGTGCAGTGGTTAAATTGCTGGAGGGAGACCAGCGAGATCCAGGTGTGTGACTTTGACCCAGTCACTCTCTTTTAGTCCAGGTTATTTCACAGCATCACTAAGGTGGGATAAAATGAAGGGGGAATCCCTGTGTAAACAGCTCTTGGTGGGAAGGTGAGATATAATTTTAACAGACTTTTAAAGAATTATCTTCAGGAATGTCTAGATAGTGCAAGCACTCCAGGTTTTTTTTTTCCACCTTGTAATTTGTCCCATTGTAGAGTGCCCCAAGACTCATATTAGGCTCTCCCAGCTGATCCACAAAAGTCTTTATACTACAATATCTTCATTCTAGATGTGCTGTTGTAAAATGGACATAAACACTTCTAACTGCCATATCTTTCCTTATTCAAAATTTCACCAGTTTCATGTTCCAAATAATTAGCATTCACCAATGTAGGAACATTCTCCCTCCTGGCAGAAGGTTTTCTAGAATAAGCCTTGCTTACATGGATACCTGTTTTTTAAAGTCCAACTGCAAAAAGTGACAGTTAAACGTTCCTATAGTCCTTTGCTTAAATATGTTTGCCTGGATACCCCATAAAATGCAGTTATATGTAATGAGACTGGTGTGTTGGGCTAGTGTAACATGCTAGGCTGAGTAAAAAAACTACATTTTGATAATTTGTTATTATCAACAATAAATTGATGGGAAATTATAGGAACTCAGTCATCATCTTACCATGTTGTGTGAACCAGATCGTCATCTGAGAATTGCTGTTATTTGACCCCAACTATTTACTTTGATTAACCTGAGTGTAAGTTTTACAATGTTATGCAAATCCAAGTATTGCTTTTGGCTTGATTTGCTTAAGCTTTCCCCCAAATTCTGTAAGAAGTTGCCATGCACATTTCCAAACAAAGGCCATACATTTGAGTCATTCCATTCATACTTGACCCATTTTTCCTGCAATTGCTGCCCCAAAAACAGCAATGACCCCTCTCCTACAATGTGCCCACCCATTTCAAGAAGACAAATGTTTTCTGCCCGATTCAGAAGCGCATGCAGTACTAACAACGCAGCAGAATGACTTGGAACACACTGAAAAACACTATTGCACCTCTTTTCCTGTGCTTTTATTATTTGTTGTAATAATGAAGATTCAACAAGGGAGAGAAAGCAATGGAATCGATAATTGGCACAACAGTGGAAGTAGAACCAGGTCAGAAATTAATGGTGGTGGATGACATTAGGGTGGTTGAAAATTATCCACACATTTAGGAGCCCCCACCAAAGTTCTTCAGTTGCTCAGTCCCACTGCAGAGAGCTCCAACCTTGGCTTGGTCAATTCAGCTACGGGGCAACTAGCAATTCAGGCTCCAGCAGATACCCAAAGTAGAGTTCCACAAGTGAACCCCGCAGAGCAGAAGAGGTGCAGGCAAGAGATGTTGACAAGGTGAAGTAGGAGAGAGACCGGAGAGGAAGAGGGTCATTATTTCCGAGCACAGGCAGGGTGTGCACTCTCTTTCTAGCGGTACCTGGAAACCAGCACCTTGGCGACTTGGTCCAAGAACTTGTCAAGGGCCAAAATCACTGAGGGTTTGAGAGGCCCTCCGTTGTGAACGGCCATGGTTACCTCGAGGCAGTGGCCCAGCAGCTGCAGACAGGAGAGGGGTGCCAGTTAAGAGAGGCAGAGCCACCCAAAAGCCATCGACGGCTACAGGGATTCCCCGGCCACCCCAAGGGCTAAAGGCGAAGCAGGTGGCAGGGACGCATGCGCCCTCCTTCACCCCAATTCTGCTGGGAGAAGGCGACTCACCTTAAAGTTGACGGGATCCACACGAAGTTTATGGGCGTGCAAGTCGCTGAGCTCGGAAAGGGCTCCCGGCACATCGTCCAGGTTGTTGACAGCTTCGGTGAGCGCGTTGATCACCTTCTTGCCGTGAGTCTTGAGATCGCTGGAGCCCGGGCTCAGGTCGAAGTGGGGGAAGTAGGTCTTGGTGGTTGGGTACGCTATGAACAGTCTGCGGGGAAAGGGAGAGTGAAGGGAAGCCGGGGGGGGGGTGAAATCGCCGGGGCGATCTTGGCGCAAGCCGCAAGTGGGAAAGGGGGAGATTACCTGGTAAGGGTCTCACTCCCATACATTTCGGCATTCTTGGCCACAGAGACCCAGGCGGCCCGCACTTTGGCCTTGTCGTCATCGCTGAGCACCATCTTGGCGGGTTCGTGCCCTCGATAGCTGGGCTGCCCTTTTATCAGGCCGGGGAAGGCCGAGCCGAGCACGCCTTCGCCCTCCCGCCCAAAACACCACACCCTCTCCTCGCGGGGTGGGGAGTAAAGGCGCTGGCGAGCTTTCTCCGGAGGGGATCCCAGCCTCTCGCTTTGTCTTCCTCCCCCGTCTGTCCTCAGCCACCATCCACCCGTGCCCGCTGTCTGGAAATGGGACGGTTTTCCTACAACCGCGAAGCCCCCCCCCCGCGGGCGCAGTGTCTACCCTGAGGTCTCCTCCGTCAGAAGAGACCTGGAAGCCCCGGGAGACGGTGATGAGGAGTTCCTGAAGGACAGCGTTTGGCAAAATTGAGAGGATGGGCGGTGAAGAGAGGAGATCAGGTTTGACAGAGCCTTTAATTGAAGTGACTTCAGATCATGAAGGCAAATCCAGTTTGGGAGTATGGAAGAAAGTTTAGTTTGGAGACGAGTCCTCCTGCTCCACCACCATCCCTCCATCTCCAAGTATTCTCCAAGAGCTGGAATTATTGACACATTTCCCAGTGAGTGCATGTCCTTCTACTATTGAGAAGGGCAGGAGAGGGGGTGGGATTTCCTCCTGGAGCTCTTTCTCAAAGTAGGGAATCCCTACTCATCTACCTGATTGGGGGGGGGGCTTTGCTCATTGGGGGTGATGAAGATGCCCAATTCGAGCAGCAGCCAGGAGATGGGAAGAGGCTCCTCCTCTTATCTTCACAAAGCAGCTGCAGGGACATAGCTGCTCCTAGGCAGTGGCTCTGGGTGGGGCAGGTGAGGCTGATAAGTAGCAGAGCTGCCTTAAAGCCTCTTTCTAAATCCCAACCCCAGAATGAATGGATGCCACTGTCTGGATTCACTTACAGCATGGAAACCAGCATTGGTTGTCTGTACCAAGTAAGTCACCAGAAAGAGAAAGGGGCACTACTTCACTGAATATGGTGCCCCTATTCAGTAAGTTACAAACAACACAACATTGAGCTCAAAAACCAAACAGCTGCATTATGGTTCAGCATTTTGCATGAGTGAAGCCACCATGATCAGTTTGGTGGTGGTGGGGCATATTGAAAGAAGTTTCTTCATCATTAGGTCAGTGATGTCCCACAGTGGAAAAGTGAGATCCTTTCTTTGCAAGGGGCTACCCTATCCCATCCACTTCATAGTGCTTTACAGCGCTTTCTAAGCAGTTTAGTCAGCATATTGCCTCCAACTATTTGGGTCATCATTTTACCAACCTCAGAATTGATGGAAAGCTGAGTCAACCTTCAGCCAGTCAAGATCGAACTCCTGGCAGAGGGCAGCGTTATTCTGCAATATTTGTATTCTAATCATTGCACTACATCAACTCCTAAAAATGGTGCAGTGGTTAAATTGCTGGAGTGAGACCAGCGAGATCCAGGTTCAAGTCTCCACATAGTCACAGAAACTCTGTGTGACTTTGGCCCAGTCACTCTCTTTTAGTCCAGGTTATTTCACAGCATCACTAAGGTGGGATAAAATGAAGGGGGAATCCCTGTGTAAACAGCTCTTGGTGGGAAGGTGAGATATAATTTTAAAGAATTATATTCAGGAATGTCTAGATATTGCAAGCACTCCAGGTTTTTTTTCCCACCTTATAATCTATCCCATTGTAGAGTGCCCCAAGACTCATATTAGGCTCTCCCAGCTGATCCACAAAAGTCTTTATACTACAATATCTTCATTCTAGGGGTGCTGTTATAAAATAGACATAAACACTTCTAACTGCCACATCTTTCCTTATTCAAAATTTCACCAGCTTCATGTTCCAAATAATTAGCATTCACCAATGTAGGAACATTCTCCCTCCTGGCAGAAGGTTTTCTAGAATAAGCCTTGCTTACATGGATACCTGTTGTTTAAAGTCCAACTGCAAAAAGTGACAGTTAAAAGTTCCTATAGTCCTTTGCTTAAATATGTTTGCCTGGATACCCCAGAAAATGCTGTTATAAGTAATGAGACTGGTGTGTTGGGCTAGTGTAACATGCTAGGCTGATCAAAAAAACTACATTTTGATAATTTGTTATTATCAACAATAAATTGATGGGAAATTATAGGAACTCAGTCATCATCTTACCATGTTGTGTGAAACAGATCGTCATCTGAGAATTGCTGTTATTTGACCCCAACTATTTACTTTGATTAACCTGAGTGTAAGTTTTACAATGTTATGCAAATCCAAGTATTGCTTTTGGCTTGATTTGCTTAAGCTTTCCCCCAAATTCTGTAAGAAGTTGCCATGCACATTTCCAAACAAAGGCCATACATTTGAGTCATTCCATTCATACTTGACCCATTTTTCCTGCAATTGCTGCCCCAAAAACAGCAATGACCCCTCTCCTACAATGTGCCCACCCATTTCAAGAAGACAAATGTTTTCTGCCCGATTCAGAAGCGCATGCAGTACTAACAACGCAGCAGAATGACTTGGAACACACTGAAAAAACGCTATTGCACCTTTTTTCCTGTGCTTTTATTATTTGTTGTAATAATGAAGATTCAACAAGGGAGAGAAAGCAATGGAATCGATAATTGGCACAACAGTGGAAGTAGAACCAGTTCAGAAATTAATGGCGGTGGATGACATTAGGGTGGTGAAAATTATCCACACATTTAGGAGCCCCCACCAAAGATCTTCAGTTGCTCAGTCCCACTGCAGAGAGCTCTGACCTTGGCTTGGTCAATTCAGCTACAGGGCAACTAGCAATTCAGGCTCCAGGAGACACCCAGAGTAGAGTTCCACAAGTGAACCCCGCAGAGCAGAAGAGGTGCAGGCAAGAGATGTTGACAAGGTGATCCAGGAAGTAGGAGAGAGACCGGAGAGGAAGAGGGTCATCATTTCTGAGCACAGGCAGGGTGTGCACTCTCTTTCTAGCGGTACCTGGAAACCAGCACCTTGGCGACTTGGTCCAAGAACTTGTCAACAGCCAAAATCACTGAGGGTTTGAGGGGCCCTCCGTTGTGAACGGCCATGGTTACCTCGAGGCAGTGGCCCAGCAGCTGCAGACAGGAGAGGGGTGCCAGTTAAGAGAGGCAGAGCCACCCAAAAGCCATCGACGGCTACAGGGATTCCCCGGCCACCCCAAGGGCTAAAGGCGAAGCAGGCGGCAGGGACGCATGCGCCCTCCTTCACCCCAATTCTGCTGGGAGAAGGCGACTCACCTTAAAGTTGACGGGATCCACACGAAGTTTATGGGCGTGCAAGTCGCTGAGCTCGGAAAGGGCTCCCGGCACATCGTCCAGGTTGTTGACAGCTTCGGTGAGCGCGTCGATCACCTTCTTGCCGTGAGTCTTGAGATCGCTGGAGCCCGGACTCAGGTCGAAGTGGGGGAAGTAGGTCTTGGTGGCTGGGTACGCTGCGAACAGTCTGCGGGGAAAGGGAGAGTGAAGGGAAGCCGGGGGGGGGGGGGGAATCGCCGGGGCGATCTTGGCGCAAGCCGCAAGTGGGAAAGGGGGGAGATTACCTGTTAAGGGTCTCACTCCCATACATTTCGGCATTCTTGGCCACAGAGACCCAGGCGGCCCGCACTTTGGCCTTGTCGTCATCGCTGAGCACCATCTTGGCGGGTTCGTGCCCTCGATAGCTGGGCTGCCCTTTTATCAGGCCGGGGGAGGCCTAGCCGAGCACGCCTTCGCCCTCCCGCCCAAAACACCACACCCCCTCCTCGCGGGGTGGGGAGTAAAGGCGCTGGCGAGCTTTCTCCGGAGGGGATCCCAGCCTCTCGCTTTGTCTTCCTCCCCCATCTGTCCTCAGCCACCATCCACCCGCGCCCGCTGTCTGGAAATGGGGCGGTTTTCCTACAACCGGGAAGCCCCCCCCCCCGCGCGCAGTGTCTACCCTGAAGTCTCCTCCGTCAGAAGAGACCTGGAAGCCCCGGGAGACCGTGATGAGGAGTTCTTGAAGGACAGCGTTTGGCAAAATTGAGAGGGTGGGCGTCGAAGAGAGGAGATCTGGTTTGACAGAGTCTTTAATTGACGTGACTTCAGATCATGAAGGCAAATCCAGTTTGGGGGTATGGAAGAAAGTTTAGTTTGGAGACAAGTCCTCCTGTTCCACCACCATCCCTCCATCTCCAAGTATTCTCCAAGAGCTGGAATTATTGACACATTTCCCATTGAGTGCATGTCCTTCTACTATTGAGAAGGACATGGGGGGGGATTTCCTCCTGGAGCTCTTTCTCAAAGTAGGGAATCTCTACTCACCTCCCCGATTGGGGTGGGTTTGCTCATTGGGGGTGATGAAGATGCTCAATTCGAGCAGCAGCCAGGAGATGGGGAGAGGCTCCTCCTGTTATCTTCACAAAGCAGCTGCAGGGACATAGTTGCTCCTAGGCAGTGGCTCTGGGTGGGGCAGGTGAGGCTGATAAGCAGCAGAGCTGCCTTAAAGCCTCTTTCTAAATCCCAACCCCAGAATGAATGGATGCCACTGGCTGGATTCACTTACAGCATGGAAACCAGCATTGGTTGTACCAAGTAAGTCACCAGAAAGAGAAAGGGGCACTACTTCACTGAATATGGTGCCCCTATTCAGTAAGTTACAAACAACACAACATTGAGCGCAAAAACCAAACAGCTGCATTATGGTTCAGCATTTTGCATGAGTGAAGCCACCATGACCAGTGTGTTGGGGGGGGGCATATTGAAAGAAGTTTCTTCATCATTAGGTCAGTGATGTCCCACAGTGGAAGAGTCAGATCCTTTCTTTGCAAGGGGCTACCCTATCCGATGGGGGTGAACCTAGGAGGGAAAAAAATGCTCACTTGTAGTGGAAGCAGAAACTGGAGCTACCAGATCTGGACTGCTGAGACCCTGGCAACCACCAAATGACAGTAAAGAGTTACAAGAAATCTTATTTCTTTGTTGCCATCTAACAGTCATTTGGATTTTTGTAGCCCAGATATGATAGCTCTACTTTTGCAAAAGCAGACATGCCCCATCACTTCCAAGTACAGTAATCTGCCTTGCATTTGTAGTAGGCTTCCATGATTAACATGGTTTGGGAACTTTACACTATAGAGCTCCCCGAACCTTGCTTATAGGGACTAAAGGAGAATTGTTTTTTTTTTCCGCCTCCTATTCTGTAGCAAGGTATGAAAATGAAGGGTACAGCATCCCAAAGATGCTTTTTCAAGAGGCAATCCATTCCCCACCATCCAGTCATAGCTGAAGAAGCTTCTTGGATGAGAAGTAAGTGAAATGTCTTCAGAGAAAAACAAGAAAGTCCAGTTGCCTCATAAAAAAGCATCTTTGGGACAACTATGACCTGGAT